CTGCCACGGGAGGTGGTGGTGGCTACAAGCATGGACAGCTTCAAGAAGGATGTAGGTTGCGATGTTCCCCTAGATCCTCGACTAATGTTGCTGAATTTGTGGCCTGAGAGTGACATTCCCAACAAACAGAGAAAATTGATAAATCTACTCTTTACAGCCGCAAAAAATGTTATTGATAAGAAATGGAAAGACGAACATCCTCCGACAATTAATTTATGGCTATCTAAAGTATGGGAATATTTTTTATTAGAAACCGTTTCCATTTTTAACACGAATGATCAAAATGAATGTGAACTAATGAATCCAACTGGTAAATGGTATCCGATTGTGGATAAGTTAACCTTTGAGTCTTTTGACTGGAAAGCGATTAGTGCAGCACAATACTCATTGTTATTAATAAGCTAGCAAACTTTTATCAGTATTTGAGTAAGTCAAATTGGAAGTCTGTATACACACTGACATATATATGAAAAATTGTTAAGATGTTGTTTGAGAACCTGTTTTTATTTGTTATGTTCTAAGTTAAAATCTAATAAAATATTATGGTTAAAAAAGAAGAAGAAGGAATTAGATAAGCATATGGAGCAGAGGTCCATCAGTGGGTATTAGCCACAAGGTATAGATAGGAACTCTCGGTCTGGGGCAAGTGATGCTCTGTATTCTTGGTGCTTGGGGGGGGCAACAGTGGGAGGGCTTCTAGTGTCCTGGCCCCACTGCTGGACCTCCTGATGGCACCTGGTATTTTTGGCCACTGTGTGACAGAGTGTTGGACTGGATGGGCCATTGGCCTGATCCAACATTGGCTTCTCTTATGTTCTTATGTATTTCTGCATTTATTTCATTTCTACCCCATTTTTCCTCCCACTGGGTACCCAAAGTGGCTCACACCCTTCTCTCCTCCATCTTGTTCTTGTGGAAGCCCTGTGCAGTGGGTCAGGCTGAGTGTATTGTGACTGGCCCAGAAGCTTCCATGGCAGAGTGGTGAAAGCAAGCCCGCTCTCCCGGATCCCAGTTTGACACTTGAACCGCTACACCCAATTGGCTCTCGTTATGGGCAACAAGTTGTGGGTTTGCCCTTTTTTTGGGGGGGGAGGCGAACTGTGGGGAGTGTCCTAGCATCTCTCTTTAACTGGAAACTCAAACTTCGATACGCTAATAGTTCATTAACATTGCTGCTCAGCGAACGTTACTACAGCTGTGCCATAGGAAAGGATCAAAGGACAAAAGTATTTGGATAAGGTGCAACACGATCAAAAGATCTGATCAAAGGAAAGGTTTTTATCAAAGGAAAGAGGAGACTAATTAAACAGCCTTTGGGCTAGACTCTCATTGTGTATTTACTGTAGAACCGTGCTGTACAGTGATCTTTGTTTCCTGATGGGCCTGATGGCAAGCTGGTGATTCATGCTTCAGATTTTAGACGGCAGCAGAAGGCTCCTCCCTCCCCATCCTGTTATTTGCTGGGTGTTGTTCAACAGAAGCTATTTGTTGCCACGCCTGAGTGTTGCCAATAGCTGAACACATTTTTGAGGCTTTCTTTTGTGATCCCGACTTTAGCCTCCATAGAAGAAATTACCTGAATTTCTCAGAGGGGTACAGATTAGACGAACTCCTTGAACTATAAAGACAAGTTGGATTATATGAAACCAGGGCTATTTTGGGGCAGGAACGCACAGGAACGGAGTTCCGGCTGGCTCCCAAGTAGGCCACGCCCAGCAGGAACTCATTAGCATAATAGGCCACACCCAACAGCAGGAACTCATTAGGATTGGCTACATTTTAGACGAACTCCTTGAACTATAAAGACAAGTTGGATTATATGAAACCAGGGCTATTTTGGGGCAGGAACGCACAGGAACGGAGTTCCGGCTGGCTCCCAAGTTGGCCATGCCGAGCAGGGACTCATTAGCATAATAGGCCACACCCAACGGCAGACACTCATTAGGATTGGCTACATTAGGGGTGTGTGGCCTCACATGCAAAGGAGTTCCTGCT